TTCATTCAATCTCTGATTCCAACATTTCCCCCTTTGCTCAATTGATTCGATCTGGGGCTGTAGGTGACCTCCACGGACGAGGAAAGGAGAGGAGGACAAGCAGCCCCCGATGCCAAGTATTCCTCAGGGTCCCAGCACAAGGACAAGCAGCGGCAACAACATCTTCTTCCATTCAGCCCAAGGACAAGCAGCAGCAGCGACCACAGCAGATGCAGCCATGCAGGGGAGGACGATGACGCTCAGCAGTAGCAGCAGCTCAAGGCGGCGGTGCTGATTAGATTTGATCCTCAAGGTAGCCCTTCCCTTTCCCTTCTCTCTTCGATTCGATCCTATCTTGCAGCCATGGATGAACACTAACCGTAGTGTATGTTGCTCTATTCTTCTTGTTCTGCAGGACACCCATGGATCTTGCTACAGGAGGTGGGTTTTGGAGAACCAACCTCAGATGCAGGAGGTGGGTTCTTGTGTTGTGCTCTGCTCGAGCAGGAGGGGCGGGAGGGGTTTGCTCCTCTACTCCTAGGGTGACCAAGAGGTCCTGCCTTGAGCTCAAGCATGTCCATGCCGACCCACCATGACAGGTAGCATCTCCATCTCCCTCTCATCTTCCTCTGCTCGCTACTGCTGCTAAGTTGAGGAATAGTTGATGCAAATCCTGGTTGTGTCAAGGAATTCAAGAAGGATTTGTATGAACAAGTCCAGTTTATTTATTTATTTAGTTAGTACCAAACACACACACACACACACACACACACACAGAGAGAGAGAGAAGATGAGCTCCATATTGGTCAATTTTGCCGCTACCACATTGATTTGTATCTGTGCAACCATCTCCATGTTGTTTGTATTGTTTGGATTTCAAGAAATACAGTTTTGGGTGACCTGCACTTAGTTTAACTTCTCTAAAAAATCAACCATTTTACATAAATATGTTGTGTACATTCTGAACCCCCCATCATGACACAATTGATATGTATATGCAGCAGGGCAATACATAGCATTATAAGTTAAATTCTTGCTTGCTTTGTTTGTTAATCCTTGCTTATTTATTTGTTTGGTTTGGATGCAGCAGGTGCCGTCCTTCCATGGACGAGGAGGACAATGACCTGGACCTCGACGGCGATGTTGTCAACCCCGCACAAGGTCGCTCGCACCCAATAAGCATTTTGTGTCAAGTTACCACTGCTCTGTTTTTGCAATTCGCTCGTTGTTCAGTAAACTAGTCAATAGAGGCAAATCATATTTGTCATGCAGTTTTTGTAACTTGGCATTTCTATATGGCATGTTTATATTATTATACATTGTGGTGTTCCACACATTTGTTGCTGGTTGAACATGATCATTGGTTCGATATAAAAGTAGAACTGTTCATTGCTAGTTTAATGCTCCAGCATTGATGACACTCCCTTCATGCTTGCTGACCCACACCTTGCTCGGTTGTTCTCATAGTCCTGATGAGGCCATGATGCTTACCTTGCTGGAGCGCATCAACCCCGACCATGGCACCACATTCATAGTCTTGAGGTAGACGTGCTGCAACTGCATCAACGCTATCTTCTCCAACTAGATAAGTCTACGGTCTACCGCATTATTTTCTTTTGTTACTTGGTCGATGAGCCACATATATTATTGTGTTGATTCCCTGTGTGATGCAGAAGCTATGGTGTTTTATTTTGAGTCTGTTGTAAACTGAAATTGATAATGATTTGTGTAAAATTAGTGTAGAACATATATCTTGTTATCTTAATTTGTTCGTGCCATGCTCAATGAACCATCTAAGATTGAATCATTTTCTGCGTTCAACTTCTAGAACCATTCTGGGAGTTTTGGTATTCATGCAACAACTGTGCGTTCTTGTCTGTGTTGTTTCTGTGAGCTGTCTTGTGGTTATTACTGTTGCATGTTACATGTAGAGATGCTTCATGATTTAGTCCCTAACTGCTTTCTATATTTTGTTTTTATTTTGTTTCTAATTCTTTTGATTTATTGTTAGATGCCTTTGTTCAGCCTATACGAACATATCCAGAATCGGTGTTTCCTCTCATTGAAGGAGCTCTGGCTTGAAAGTGAAGAAGTCTGGAGTATATTTGTAGTAGTAGTTATATGTTGTGATAGTATCACATGTAATGGTGAAATGAATTATGTAAAGATTGTGCTATTAGCCAAAATTGGCATGTGGTTTGAAAATTTTCATTTCTTTGTTGTTCTCACTGAAATAATTGTGTGGAAATTGAAACTTGGTTTGTCTTTAATTAGAACTTGACAAGTGGGACCTAATAGTATTTTGCATATAAAAATGGCATTTTCCAAATAATATTCACAGGGAAAAAACTAAAAATTAAGGAAATGGACTATAAAAAGGCTGAAGCCCAATTGAGAAATAGATGCGACCCAACAAAGAAATGGTCTAAAAATGGATCACGGTCCTGGAAATAAAAAGGCTAAAATGATGGGCCTGGCCCATGTGGTTGACTAAAATTTATAGGAAAAAAATGTAAAAAGGCTGAATTAATGGGCTCGGCCCATCTAAAGCACCGAAATGGACCGGGCTGATTCTAATTTTTGACCTTTTCAATTGGTCGTAGTTTTTCCACGTCAGATTGCCACGTCGGATCCGACGTGGCTTGCTTAGATAGCTAGTGACCAAAACAAAACAGTAGGCTTATTTTAGTCGTAAACGTCTACGACCTTCTCACAGTAAAGGTCGCTATAGTCAGTTTACGACCGCCAGCTTTTGACCTTCTGTTTTTGGTCACAAAAAGGTCGCAAATAAAAAACCATGACCTTTCAGTGACCAATAGTGGTGGTCACAAGTTGACATATTTCTTGTAGTGTTACTCCTCCGGTCATAGCGTTGTAGTGCTTAGGCGAAGCCCTGCGTGGATCACATCACCAACACTGTCACCACACCATTGTACTGACGGAACTCTCCCTCGACCCTTTACTGGATCAAGAGTTCGAGGGACGTCATCGAGCTGAACGTGTGCTGAACACGGAGGTGCCATACGTTCGGTACTTGGATAGGTTGGATCGTAAAGACGTTGGACTACATCAATCGCGTTAACCTAACGCTTCCGCTTTCAGTCTACGAGGGTACGTGGACACACTCTCCCCCTCTCGTTGCCACGCATCTCCTAGATGGATCTTGCCTGAGCATAGGAATTTTTTTGAAATTGCATGCTACGTTCACCAACATACGGGTCACGATTGGCGCAGTGGTAGGTGCATGCTACGTTCCCCAACATACGGGTCACGATTGGCGCAGTGGTGGGTGCGACACGTTGGCAGCTGGGCGGATCTGCGAGATTCCATCCTTGTCTGGTCCTTGTCAGCGCGAGCAATTCCAGGGGAAACCCTAGATCTCCTTGGGATCGAGAGATGGCGGTGCTTTTGCGTCGTAGCCCCTCTTCAGGGCATCGTTTTGGAGTTTGCTCCTGCTGAAGGGAGTACCGACGCCGGCGGTGCACACCCGATGGAACAATTGCCGATGAAAATCATGCTGACTATGGTCATGGTGGACGATGGCGGCGTCTTTGATTTCGTTTCCTTGTCGAGGCATCGTCGTTGCAGTTTGCGTCACCAGGCTCGGGATGCTCCGGGGGAAACTCTAGATCTGGGTCTCCCAGATCGGACGATGATGGTGTTCTCAGTGTTGCTTCCCCTCCTAGGGGCATCGTTTTGGAGCAAGTGATGGCTGGAGGTGACAAGAGGAGGAGCGGTGTTACATCTACCGCAAGGCCAACAACAGATCACGGTGGCCCGGCGCTGCGGAGTTTCGGCGATGGGCGCATGTGGATGGACACGCGCATGATGGTGGCATTGTCTGACACCATGGTGGTGTCGACGGCAGGCCTGACAAGGTTGGTGCGTTAATACCTGCTCTGGAGATGGATCAGCGGTTGGAAGTGGCGGCGGCCTATGAGAGTGCGTCAGACCGGTGTGTGACCCAGTTCCGACATTGTGGCTTGGTTGGGGCATCCGGTTTAGATGTTAGGATATTGAGGAACTCTTGCCGTTGGATTGTAGCTCTAGGCTTCAGGCATACTGATGTACTTTGTAAGGTTTTTGAGAATAATTAATAAAATGACTGCATGCATCGTTCATATGCACAAGCCGGGGTATATCCTTCTTTCCCAAAAAAGGTGTGTGTGTGTGTCGGGGATTCAAGGCTACTTGATTAGAGAGCAGTAACTTGGTGCCCGTTACCTGGCCCATTTTTTTATTTAAGCGGAGACTCTGCTTAATTATGAGCATCCAAAAGAGGTCCATAGAAAAGTACTCCCCCCGAAAGAGGTCCATTGAGAAATACTCCCTCCGTAACTTAATATAATACGTTTTTTTACGCTTTCATAGTGCCGAAAATGCGAGAGAGGCGTTTTGGAGGCCGAGCTCCATAGAGGTCTTTATTTTTGAAATATTCAAATTCAAACTTTTATAGTTTAAAAAATTCTGGAAAAATATATGCGTCCATGTAAGGATGTAACCCACATGTGTGTAAAAATTCATGATGAAATACCTTGAGTTGCGACCTATAAAAAAACAAATTCATGGCCTGGAAGGATGGATAGTATCATGTGTTAAATAACCCCAGATTTGTCTTTTTTTGCACAACCCTCATTTCAACGTATTTTGAACTGAAAACTTACACACATGTGTGTTATGCCTTCATGTACATCTGTATTTTTTTCAGAATTTTTTGAAATGTAAAAATATGAATTCCGATGAAATTTCTAATTTAAATTTGGAGGCCTCACTGGAGGCCGAGCTCCAAAAGGGATTTCCGCAAAAACGCCTTATATTAAATTACAGAGATACTCCCTCCATTCCTAAATATAAATATAAGTCCTTTTAAAGATTTTACTATAGGCTACATTCGAATGTATATAAACGTTTGCTCCGTATGTAGTCTATTGTGGAATCTCTAAAAAGATTTATATTTAGAAACGGAGGGAGTAGTAACTAATAACGATTTTTGCAGAAAAGAGAGAGAGACACAAAATTACCGAAGGTTGGGGAGGGGCAGCCGGTGGAAGACGCCGTAGTTGGTGCAAGGATGAAGAGGAGTAACACTTTGAGGTACCTGGTGTTGTATGGCAAGATGCCAATGGATTTGACAATCTCTACAAACGACACCGTGATGCTTAGAGAGTGTACCGACCTGCAACAATGAAATTACAGTAAACACATCGACAAATAAACTAGTACTCTTATTACGCAGATCACACAAGGTCAATGCTAGCACTAAATGTGTTCTTAAAACACCAGTTACCGTGGTTGATCATCCAATGAACCGTGGAATTGACGGTCGTTGAATCCATATTTTGACTCGGAGAAGAAATAAAATAGGGCAAAGTTAAGTCGTTGGATATATATAATTAATTTGGAGTAAACTTTCAGTATGCAACATGCTACCTTGATAAGCAAAACCAATGTCATTGATGTGAGGAGGAAGGCGACCGGCCAAACGACGCCAACAGCCTGCGGTATTCCCTGCTTTGAACAGTTGAATTTAGACATGTGCATATTTTGAGGCTAATAAGGGCATCTTATTTCCTTTTTCTTTTTTACGAGAAAACTTTCAATCTATTTATCTTCAATCATGACAGTACAACGAACATAAAAATTAATAAAAATTACATACACATCCGTAGACCACCTAGCGACGACTACAAGCACTGAAGCGATCCAAAGGCGCGCCGTCGTCATAACCTCTTCCTCACTAGAGCCGGTCAAAATTTGTTATAGTAGACAGTCGGGAATTCGTCGTGTTAAGACCTCATAGGACTAGCGCAACAGAACAACAAACGCCGTCGATGAAGAGTGGCGTATATCGAAATGACCCAACCCGAAGACACACGAACGTAGACGAACTACGACCAGATCCGAGCAAATCCACCAATGACAGATCCACCGGAGACACGCATCCACACGCCCACCAATAATGCTAGACACACCATTTGGACGGGGGCTAGCTGGGGAGAACCTTATTCAATCTTCAAGGAGCCACCACCGTCTCGTCTTTCTGAACATGACACAAACCTTACCAAACCTCGAAGAAAACTCTAAAAACATAGCCTTCCGGCCGGCAAGGAACGGGATCCATCGCGCCGCCAGGGCCCTAAGGCCACTGAGGGAGTTCCGGACTAGGGGGTGTCCGGATAGCCGAACTATCATCATCGGCCGGACTCCAAGACTATGAAGATACAAGATTGAAGACTTCGTCCCGTGTCCGGATGGGACTTTCCTTGGTGTGGAAGGCAAGCTTGGCGATACGGATATGTAGATCTTCTACCATTGTAACCGACTTTGTGTAACCCTAGCCCTCTCCGGTGTCTATATAAACCGGATGGCTTTAGTCCGTAGGACGAACAACAATCATACCATAGGCTAGCTTCTAGGGTTTAGCCTCCTTGATCTCGTGGTGGATCTACTCTTGTAACACACATCATCAATATTAATCAAGCAGGACGTAGGGTTTTACCTCCATCAAGAGGGCCTGAACCTGGGTAAAACATCATGTCCCTCGTCTCCTGTTACCATCCGCCTAGACACACAGTTCGGGACCCCCTACCCGAGATCCGCCGGTTTTGACACCGACATTGGTGCTTTCATTGAGAGTTCCTCTGTGTCGTCGTCAATAGGCTCGATGGCTTCTTCGATCGTCATCAACGATGCAGTCCAGGGTGAGACCTTCCTCCCCGGACAGATCTTTGCATTCGGCGGCTTTGCACTGCGGGCCAATTCGCTTGGCCATCTAGAGCAGATCGAAAGCTACGCCCCTGGCCGTCAGGTCAGATTTGGAAGTTTGAACTTCACGGCTGACATCCATGGGGACTTGATCCTCGAGGGATTCGAGCCACAGCCGAGCGTGCCGCACTGTCACGACGGGCATGATTTAGCTCTGCAGCCGGACAGTACCCTGGAGGCTGCACACGAACCCGCTCCGATCTTCAATTTGGAGCCGGCTGCGCAAATCGAGGACGGATGGCTAGACATCGCCTCGGGGGCTGCAACCTCTACGGTGATAGAGCCGAACATTGATCTTGTCCCTCGCATAGCTCATGACTCCGAGGTGCCGGACTCCTTGCCGGACTCTGAACCTCCCGCGCCCTCACCAATCGAATCCGGTTGGGCGCCGATCATAGAGTTTACTGCCTCGGACATCTTTCAACACTCAACTTTCGGCGACATCTTGAGTTCGCTAAAGTGCCTATTGTTATCAGGAGAGCCCTGGCCGGATTGCGGCCAGGACAGTTGGGATGCGGATTACGAAGAAATTCAAAGCCCACCCACCACCCAATTAATAGCCATTGTCGACGATCTAACCGACATGCTAAACTATGACTCCGAAGACATCGACGGTATGGATGACGATGCCGGAGACGACCAAGAACCAGCGCCTACCGGGCACGGGAAAGCCACCCCAACTTACGACGTATATATGGTGGATGCACCAAAAGGAAGCGACAATGAGGAAAAACGGGACGTGGCAAAGGACAACTCCCCCAACAAACAACCAAAACGGCGACGCAAGCGCCGCCCGAAGACCGGCCTCGATAAAAACGACACCCATACGGACCCAGCCTTAGAGCAGGGCGAAGCAGTGGACGACGCACATGCCACCAAGCAGCCATCCGAACATGATGAACTGGACAGGCAACTCATCCCTGGCAAAGATGATCTCACATCACCAGAGCATACGAATCTTCATAAAAGGCTCGTCGCCACGGCAAGAAGCTTGAAGAAGCAAAAGCAGAAGCTCAAAACAGCGAAGGACGCACTTAGAATAAGATGGAGCAAAGTGCTCAACAGCGCAGATAAACATGGCGCTAGTCACCAGACAAAGAGCTACCCGAAGCGAAAGCTGTTGCCCGAATTTGACGAGGAGGCCTTAGAGCCCCCGCAGTCAAAAAAGAAAGAAGCCGCCTGGCCGGATAGACGACCAGATGACAGGCCAAGAGCAACAAGGGGCGCCGCACTCAAACCGGCACACGACCAGCATAAAGATCCTCGAAAAAAGAACGACCCAGTCAGATCTATTTATGGGCCAAAAAAGAAGACTCCAGGAAGCAACATAACCCGCAGAGCATTTGAAGACAACGACACACCCAAATACAGGGGCGCCGCACACCCACTATGTTTCACTGACGAGGTACTGGATCATGGATTTTCAGCGGGATTCAAACCCGTAAACATAGAAGCATATGACGGAACGACAGACCCCGGAGTCTGGATTGAGGATTATATCCTACACATACATATGGCCAGAGGAGACGATCTCCATGCCATAAAATACCTACCCCTCAAGCTCAAAGGGCCAGCTCGACATTGGCTTAAAAGCCTCCCAGAAAATACCATTGGAAGTTGGGAAGAGCTTGAAGATGCGTTTCGAGCAAATTTTCAAGGGACTTATGTCCGCCCTCCAGATGCAGACGATTTAAGTCACATAACTCAACAGCCCGGAGAGTCAGCACGCAAATTCTGGAACAGGTTCCTCACTAAAAAGAACCAAATAGTCGACTGTCCGGACGCTGAAGCCTTAGCAGCCTTTAAACACAACGTCCGGGACAAATGGCTCGCCGGACACCTCGGCCAGGAAAAACCAAGAATAATGGCCACACTAACAAGCCTCATGACCCGCTTTTGCGCGGGGGAAGACAGCTGGCTAGCTAGATGCAGCACCAGCGACCCGAGTACATCCGAAGTCATGGATGGAAATGGGAAATCTCAACGCAGAAAGGATCAGCGCCGGAATAAGGAAAATGGCCCAAACAGTACGGCGGTCAACGCCGGATTCAAAAACTCGCGGCCGAACAACAAAACGCTGTCCCTCAAGGACAACGGTGACGAGCTATCCAACCTAAACAAGATTCTAGACAGACTATGTCAAATACATGGTACCTCCGGAAAGCCTGCAAACCATACCCACAGAGATTGTTGGGTCTTCAAGCAGTCCGGCTGACTTAATGCCGAACACAAGGGGCTCGATACACCAAGCGAAAGTGACGATCCCCAAAAGCAGCACTCCGAAAAACAGAAGACTTTCCCACTAGATGTCAAAACAGTGAACTCACTTCATGTGATAACACGACAACACAGCGTGGCTCCTGTCATATGAGGATACTGTCCGCAGAATGGGGATAGACCCTACCAACATTCGCCATAACAGCACTCCCTTTAAAGGAGCGATGTCAGGCCTTTAAGCCAATTATACGGGCTCTGTACCACTAGAGGTTGTGTTCGGTTCATCCGACAACCACCGTCGTGAAAAGCTCACTCTTCATCGCGCCCCATTATACAGTGGCCATCAAGCACTACTGGGACGCAAAGCTTTCGCCCGCTTTAACGCCATACCACACTACACGTCTCCTATACCTACAATGCCCGGTCCACAAGACATAATCTCATTAAAGAGTAAATACGAGTGTTCCTCGACCATGGAGAGCGTGGGGCCCCTAAACACAGGTCCTTCAGACCCCGGACACGGTTAGGCGAGTCCAGCAAGGGGCTTCCCAGCCGCATACCCCCTTTATAAGGGGCAGGGCGTTTCAGCAATGAGAGCCAATAAAGCTCAACTTTCTTTGTCTACCAAAGCATACTTTATTTTAACACAACTTTTGCACGATATTTCTTAGAAACTAAGTCCTTCTCTTTTACAGATGAAGCACGTGCTACACCCGTCCAGGACACAGCACAACGGAGACACAGGTGTAGACGTGCAGCAGGGACCCGTTGCAAGGATTCTTTTCAGATTAAGACCCTGCGTAAACCTTTCTTACTGTCTCTTGTTGATATACATCCCCCGGTTTCCTACCATAGCCGAGGAGGAGGCTGGCGTTTTGGCATCGGCCACGTCAGAAGTTCCCGTCTGTACCTGGACACTAGGGGCTTAGGGCATTGTTCTGCCCGTTATCATAAAGACCGAACACCTCAGGGAGTGTTCGGCGTCTCGAGTTAGGCCTTATATGCATCAGCTCCGAATCATGTCTTTGGTAAAATGTTGGGTTTGCCTGGCTCCTGTGTTTTGTTGCCTTACGTTCCGTATCATCGGCTAACGCGGCACCAGGAGAACTACTGCGATTGTGCCCCGGTTCGGCCAGGCGAGCACCTCAGTAGAGAAAGCCGAAAACCGACTGTCATGATGTAGCGAGAGACTGGTCAACCACTCGATCGACCATTGGAATGTTTAGAATTCCTCCACTTTGACGAAGGGCCGCTTCCCGGTCAGGCACATACGCACCCCGAGTTCGGAGATGAGCGGTGCCGCCAGGGGCTATATAGTAGCCCCACATTCAAGCTCCTATGGCTAAGTGAAAGTGATAAAGTATTATAGTCCGGTTGCCTAGTTTGCTATGCTATCACCTCCTTAAAAGGACCAAGACATTGGATTAAGTGTGAAAAAGCATTTTTCTTTTTGCAAACACCCACGCACCATGTGCGTGGGGGCTGAAGCCAAAGACTGCCATCTTTCAGATTATACATAAACATAC